TGACCTTGAGACACAGTATTCTCGAGCACCGGGAACATCTGGTGGATATCGTGGGCGAAGGCCAGTAGCAATCAGGAAGCGATCAGCTGTCAACTTCTCCACTTGCCCTTTCTTGTTCGTAGCTGAAACCTCGAACGGTCCCGTGAATCTGCCATACGAGTTTATGTAAGTAACCTAAAACGGAGTAGGTGATAGAAGGATTTATGAATATAAAAAAGGCATGCAAATCAACCTGCTTTTCGCGCAACTGGACACCAACATTCCCAACATTTGACTCAACAAATACGACCTTACTCCCTCCAGCGCCCTAATACCCCTCACTGAGAATCATTGACCTGCCATGATCATGGGCTCTTCTATGAGCCAAAAACTAATTGGGTTTTTTGGTACCTTGAAAATAGCTCTTACTATCGAACGCTTTTCGCTTTGGCTATAACTGCTTTACTTTTTAGCGCTATTCCAACTCGGATAGAAGAGATAGAGCCGAAAACAAAGACAAAAGCGGGTCGACTGCGTGTGTACTTCGCTCGAAAAGTATCAGACACCCAGACTGAGGAACACAGCGAAGAATTCAATACTGTGAGTTGCCCTATTTCTTTCTTCTTGGATCTTTTCTGTGAATGTGCTTCTAAAGGTCGTAATAGCAATCGGCCGCGATGCAATGACACAAGATATTGGCCTAGATGTGGTCGGTGTAGAGACAGCTCGCAACGGAAAGGTGGGCACACTGACATATTTCTAAGCCAAACCTATGCTATACTCAGTTTTTTTTCTCAAATTCAGGTCAAATGTCGTCGGGAACAGTCTCTGACCTGTCCGTATGTCTATGCGATCGGCGACGTTCTTGGAAAATGCACCTGAGCTGACGCCTGTAGCTATTCAAGCTGGTAAAGGTGCTCATGAATCGACTGTACTTTGGCTCAGATACACTGGTGAGTGTCTTGTGAAGCTTTCTCATTTCATTATGATACCAGCTGTCTATCGCTGTGACATTTTCACATGAATGCTGACTTATGAACAAAATTTTTGGACCCTCCTTGGAACTGGAACATGGGTCACATGGGAGAGGGAGGTCGCCACCAAACAATTACCAAGAGCGCGTTCATACTTCGCGATCACGCGATCGGTTCGTTTATCGATCACATCAAATGGATGAATGGAATTTCCCGTTCATTTAAGAGTCAATGATTCAATACGGCCGGGCCTATCGGAGAACTTGAATTCAGTTGCTTTGAATGCGTCAAATTTGTGTTTTTGCTCTCTGCTCTGGGCTTTGGGCTCTCTTATCTATCTATCGATCTTATCTTCTATCTATCTATCTATGCTATCTATCGTATCTCGTCCGGCGTGGCACTCTATGGTCATTGTGTACTTTCGGCACATTCAGCTCTTCACGGTAATGATAAGTGGTCTGCAGCACACCCCAAGGTCCGCCCCCCCCCCCCCTCAAAAAGTTCGTTCCTGCTTGGCCATAGTTTTCTTAGTACGTTCTCGAGGCTCTTTCGAGAATCCCCACTGTGTCCTCTATCTGTCTGCGTCTCACTGGTTTCGCACAGGAACCATTGCCAGCAAAAATTCAAGAATCTGGCTTAAAGGCAGCGTCCGCGATCAACCAAAGTGAAAAAACCCTCCATTGAAAACGAACGCGGAGTCCGCAATCACAGCAGAAATCCCACTCTTGCGGCTCGAAATCGATTGGTTGACGAGGGCGGAGTCAACAAGGCTGAGCTGACGCCTCCTTTCCTGTTAATCCCGCCCCGACTGGTTAACAGTTATCAGTGCTTGCTGGCATTGATATACGCTGAATTCTAGAGTTCCGAGGCGGCGACGTGTATTGGAGAACTCACCAGAAGTTTGCGAAACTCGTCCACATGCCTTAAATTTCATAGGGTCTTATTTCACGCTCTTCCACACCTTTTTCCTGCTTTTTTTGATTAGTGCTTCATTGGCCACCTGTTCTAGCAAATGTGACCCCTGAAACCTGCCAAAGTCCATCGCGGGCGCTGTCTTTAACCCAAAGGCAGGCAGAACACCTCGTCCATCGGGGGTGGCGTCGCTCGCCACGTTGACGTTGACGGAAACATGATAACAGTAATATAGGTATATTACTGTTATCATGTTCCTACCAGTTCCATAGAGCCCTGGCTGCGTTATCAACTAGGAGGCGAGGATATATAGCAAAGGTGAAACGGGAACAAAGAAAGTCGGTAACGGAAAAAGTTTTTTCGCGCACAAAAAAATTTTCTTAATACTAGATGCACCCCTCCCTCAATACGAGTCTCTAGTGATGTGACAGCGCGTGTGATCACAGGAACAATTGAAATCTCAATAATTTTCCTCATGGGCCACCATCACGCCTTCCTCCTCCAGCGACCAAAGAGCCGAATCCCCGCTGGTATTAAACAAGCACACCACGTTCCCTGATTTCACCACTTTCGTCATGTCAGCTCGGTGGCTTGCTTCTCATTTTTAACCCTAGCTGGGAGTGAGAGTATTTGTCCTGTCCGTTTTTGGCCTTTGTCACTTCACTTCCTTCTGTTCTTCGGTGTTTTATCCTGGTAGTCCCTGGCGTTTTCGTGATCTTCGGTGGAAATATATCGCTTCAATTAATAACCCGCAATTCTGTATTTATCGGAATCGGAAGTGATATTCTGGATTCTAGACGGAATACGATGAAGTGCCGACAACAGTGTTCACTCCTCTTGAATATGGATGCTGTGGTCTGTCTCCGAAGAGGTGGGAGAATTCTTATTTAAAAAGAGTGGGATGTTTGAATGAAGTACAGTAGCTGAAATATCAATTTAGAACGCCTTCGCACGCTACGGAGAGGACAATGTTATAATCTACCACGGTGTTTTTATTCCATTGGAGTACACAGTGGCAGAAAGAATGGATAAAGATCATTGCTATTGTAAACTAATCTGTTTAGCGTCTGAAAACGTAGGTTTTTT